AACGTTCGCCACACTCCGATGGTAGAGAATGTCCAAAAGATGAAAATAAGTATCCACACTGTAGCTGAAGCGAAAAACCTCCCGTATATGCGTGGCACACATTTACGCTGACCTCCACACATGCAGATGAAGCAAATTTCGGTCGATGAACGCGCCACCCATCGATTACGGGACTCCCTCGTCCCGTTCTGCCTTGGGGTTCACTATCGAGCCCCACCAACAGCTGCACAGCGGCAAGTATTATGAACCGATGAACACTGCAGGCAAAGAGACTGGAATGGCCAATTCTTGCTCATTAACCGTCATCAGCCAGTCATAAATAACCCCAGGCGGTACACCAAGCGACGCTTGAATCCGTGACCTGTTGTGTAGAAGCTCAACGCTCGCAAACACTGACGATAATTGATGGTCGCTTCATTAATCAGTTACGGGGTTCACTCACCCTCGTTTGCTTTAGTGCTCACTGTCGAGCCCCACCAGCAGCGGCACAACGACAAATGAACAGTGTCGATAAAGACTGGAGGGTGAGGTCCACTGAGTTGAAATGGTCGGCTTTTTAGCCATCATCAGCCAGCCATAATTGGCCAGACTTCACAAATGGTTCGCATGTCGCGTAGGTGGACATTATTACATCACTGCGACCTCACTCCAGCTAGCCCGTAAATTGACTGACTCAAAAGTCACCATATTTACGGCGTCTTGGCAGGTTAGGGTTCCCGTATTTATTATAAAGAGATTAAGCATATAGAAGGCTTGGCGTACTCTCCCAAACCAGTGGTAATTTCCAGACAAACCGACCGGTACTCAGACCGATTGCAATGATAGGCGGCGTTAATGTTTCCACCTAGCACTTGTCAGCCTGCACTCTCCCCGCCCCTCGCTCCCTGTTTGGGTCGTTATGTCTGAAATCGCACACCCACGACAGAGCTTTTTATCCTATACCCGTGCTGCGGCATAATTCACGTTTGCAAAAAAATCTCCATAATTCGTTTTGTACATACCACGAAGACGATTCTCCGTCTCTCTGCGTCCCTCTGTATTCAGCGTTTTCAAGCGAGTCTCCGCGGCTGTGGAAAGTTGACAGTAAATGGATTCAGCCGTGGAGAAGGCCTCCAGATATTCCTAAAGGCGAAACCAGAGAGATAGATGATTCTTCAACAAAAAGTACGGGTGTCAAATGCACTACCTTAAATAGCACCAATCTAGCCAAAAATGACAGTTAAGAAGTGTATGTTATCCTAAGGCTGGTCTTCTTTGGATGAGATCAGAAAGAGGACCACTGGTGGTGTATGTGGTCAAGGCATCTGATAGCATGTCTGTGGGAACAGAGGTCACAGTAATCGACTTGTTGGAGATCATGTTGGATCTACTTTGGAGTTAGTTGACACAGCCAATAAACCGAACGAAAAGAGTAAAACATTTGCGTGAGGAGCGGTATTACAGCCTTTGCGGAAGAACAGCCACTGAATTATACAAGAACATGCCAGTACAGTTAAATTAGTATCTATGGATGATGGATTTCGAACGAACTTCTTTCCCGCCACTTGCAAAAACTCCAATATGGCTACTCAGTTAGTATGGATTTCGGCTACTGATTTCGACTTCCAGATAAATTCGAATATATTTCGTAGAAAACATATAGAGAAATATGCTTTCCTGTACTCACTGTGAAGTAACTCAAGTTCTCTGTGAAAGTTACACTTGAAAAGGGGCGTCTTTCGGCTCAAAAAATCTGTTTTTAAATTTCCGAATAATTTTGAACTCAGGCTGGTGTTTCCAGACTATAAGCTGTCTATTTTCCGTATAAGGCGAATCATAATTTCTATACACTGTTAGGAATGCGTAATATAGAGCCTATGACACTTTGCGGTGGATGTTGACCATTTTATATACTTTACAAACAGCATATGACATACGTGATGTCGTCTGAATTCAAATTGCAATGTCATAAAATAAGTGATGGGTAGATACCTTCTTTTTTTAACCGAAAGATATTTCTTCTTCAATTATAAATTTTAAACAAGACGCAATTTGCTACTAAAAGAGTACTAGAAAAATATTACGTAGCTATTTACCATACTAACCACACAAGCACTAGCTAAAGGCACAGACACGTCTAGTTCGCTGATCTTATGCCGCTGCCTCGCGCTTGGAGTAAATCTTTTGTGGTTATAGCGCAGTAGTTGATGGATTTCAGCTGACATATTCATAGAAAGTTTCAGGCAGAGCCTCAAGAGGTCTGATTCGTGGGCTGAACTGGAAGATCGCGCATTAATTCCCGCGGAAATTAAACAAAACAGAAAGAATACTGTCATACACCCCCTCTGTGGAATATATTACGGTGTTTTAACGTTTCAAAAATCCCCAAAAGAGAATTCGGAAGAGCCGTTGGCGATTGTACGTAGGCTCTCGATAAATTCTCATCGGGTCAGTACATTTATGTGGGTACGGGGTACAGGTTAAAAATTGCGGTCCATAGTCTTAGTCTTCTTTTACAAGAGAATCATAAGGATGGGGAGGGGGATTGTGGTCGATAAGAGAAGGCTGGTTACATGACGGGGGCAGTTTGAAA